GGGTGCAGTCGCTTATCATGCAAAAGGAAGATTTGATCATTACAATAAAGTACACTTACATTGCTCATGAGACCTCCCACAAGTTCATTATTCATTGGGTCTTCCTCTGTTGTGGTGAATGGTGAATATAATTCAGCTGTCCGTAATATTTCCTGAGAAAATAAAATCACTGGTTACTCTTCTGGCAAAAACACAAACTGCACTAGCTCCAGCAGTCAGGTGACTTCTCCCCCCGGCAGGGGGGGAGGAGGAGGAGGAAGCTTCTCTGGAAAGTTTTAGGGGAGGCTCTGCCCCAAGGTTCAACCCCATACCCTTTTGTACCATCTTGACAGAAACGCTACCCTTTTCATACACCCTTTATTGAAAAAGTTACCTCAGTCTTTCACATACCTACTTTAGAATACTGCATCCCTGTTCTAAACCCTTGGAATGAAGTTAGGAACAATATTATGGGAGAACATTAAGCATTACCAGAAAAGATGTTAACCAAAAAATAAGAATTATTTGTTCAGTTCAGGTTGTGGTAGGAGTCAAGATACTCGGATTTCCCTACCCTTACATATACCACAACTTGTGAAATCCCTACCCTTCGATATACCTGAAGCCTGATAAAGGTAACCCTTTTGGGCGGAGCCTCCATATAGGCCATTAGCGGGAGTTTCCCCCTCCCAGTTACATCCTTATATAACACTTAATTCCCTGAACCAACATTACAAGAAATGTATACAATAAGGTATGGAGAATTTATATTTTGAGCACCTGAAAATAGAAGGATCATTTCAAGAGGATTTTTGACTTACACTCTTTTAGCTTGCTTTAGGTTTCCACACTCAAACCTTGATTCAAATGTGAGGCTTGGAGGACAACCAGATGGGACGTGAATATGGTAACCCTGTGGCACAAAATAAAGAAAATATCACTATGCAATAAATATAATGTTTACTCAACTCATCTCCCCAGAAATATGATCAGATTCTCATTTCTCCTTAGATTATCAATAAATTGTCAAGTGACCAGGTCAGGAGAATAAAGAAAATCATGAACTGAAGATCAACTGCCATAAAAAAGAACACTACATCATATGTCAACTGGCAAAGGGAGTTAAGCTTGGTAATTCTTATAAGTGAAAGATGAGTTACTTCAGTTTCAGTATCTGGTTTCAGAAATTATCTATCCACACCCCATGAAGAAGATCACCGGAAATTCCATATAAAAATGATGTATTATGGAACAAAGCAGCTTTAAATTTGATGTTGTTAAGGTATGTTAGCGGTTAAAAATTAGTTCCTGCCACAGCTCACCTGCCCTTTACTCTGTCTTTCATAAACCGTGAGATTCCCACGCCATTGTTGAGGGTACTGTAGATTCTCATTACCCATTCTGTGTGCAGTGTTGGAATTTTCAGCTGAAACACAAAAATATATAGCCTGTCACTTCAAAGAATCATTTGAAGTAACTTGTAAGAATGTCAAATTGGTTTGAGAAAAGGAAGTGTCCCAGTGATCAAAAGAACCCAAATGGTTTCCTGGTACTGGAGACCCTGAGGAAAGCGGAATAACACCACTAGGAGGCCTTGTAGTGGAATCCTCAGGTAGGGGAAAATGGGGACGATGTCAGGGAATGACAAAGACAGTCATGGAGAGTATTGTGAGAAATTGGAGAACATCCAAAGACATGGGGCAAGGCCAAACAAACTGCAAAGAGAACAGAGGTCAGTGAGGGCTATGATAGAGGCCCTTTGTCTCTTAAGGGGCAAAAACAATTATGTCAAGCTCTAGTACAGGTGCTTTTGAATTTTGTTTTCTACATTGCATCAACAAGTGCAAGCATTGTTCATCCCCTTGGGTGGGGTGCTATTTCATCTCAGGGTAGTGAGACACACCTCAGTATTTTGTCAGTTGGTTCTAGCAATTCAATAGTACCCATTTATACACCCAGAGGGAGAGAGGCACTAACTCTGACTTTCCCTTCTCTGAGGATCAAGAAATCAATGGGTAGTGCTAAAAGGCTAATAAAACCTAACAGATATATGACGGCAACCTGCTAGTAATCAGCACTCTTTCCAATCCAGGTGGAGTGGCAACACCCTTGCGGTTACTCACCTCAACATTGAGGCCCTACTAGGGCTCTCTGGGATACAAACTATTTTGGTTAAAAAATTGACGGGATACAGGATATTTGGGGGGAAGATTAGTGGGATGTGGGATATTTGGGCAAAACATTACCATAGTATGGGATACTTAGAACACTCTTCCCACCTCCGTTCCTCTCCCACCTAATGGGGCCTCGACATCGCTACAGATATCTGGAGACTATAGAGCACCGGGTCACCAGGGCCTCAGACAGACTCTAGTCTAGTAAAGGAGTCAGAGGAACATCATTTTCTAGCAACTCCTCGCCACAAGCCCCACCAAAAATTTGAGTGGATGTTATCGTGCAAAGTTTGAATTCTTTCCGAGGCACAAACTTGCAAAACAGACAAAACATTTACATTGTAAAACAAAACGATAATTCACTGTCGCAAGGATGAAAAGTATCTATTATACAGTAAGATATTCATTTAAAACTGGGAAAATTTTTTCTTCGTCTTTTAACCTCCATTTAACTAAGATTAGTATACAAAATTAAAATATTTTCGCTAGCGTGGATCATCTGCTGCAATGTGCGTAATGTTTTGAAATAGCTCTTGAATAAACAAATTATGTCTTAGTTTAGGGTCCGTCACTGTTTATTTACTCTGTTCTTGAAGCACTTGAAACTTACGTGAGAAGAATTTGACAGGACTATTGCAGAAATTGTTGAATGCCTGCCACTCAAAAAGAGTTGAACTTTAATTCAACGCGGATACGCATTCTCGAACAATTCCTCTCGCGTTTCGAGCCTTCGATAAACCCAACAAAAAATATCAAATTTGTAATTCAATCCGCTTAACGCAAATGTCGATTTCGTATGCGTGACTTGCTAATTGCATGTTTGAAGAACTTTAGATCGAACGTCGCACGAGCATTATTCACAAAACATCGCAAATTTGCTTTCTTAAATCCCATCACTGAAGGTTTAGATTTCTTTATAAGCTGAAAAGTGAGTATTAACACTTGTAATTACCGCATGGGGGTTATAACAAGGCGAGAAGTCAGTGCGAAATGGAAATCCAAGTGGTAAACAAACGGACTTGTTTGGCATTCACGTCGAATTTTTTCATTTTAATGAGTCTCACATACCTTCCGTGTTCAATCTTTCGACAAAATCGGGAATAAAATGAATATGCTTCTGGCAAGAGAACCGCGGTAAGTGATCTTTCGGCCAAAACGGTCCAGGAATCTCGTGTTGTTCGCCTTTGTGATCAACCCATATACAACCCGCAGAGCGCTTATAAACAGGAACGGTGCTTGAGTTCGAGCACGTTTTTCCCGCATTCTCTAAAGCCGCTCGAGTGTAGATGCTGAACCGTTGGTTGAATTCGCTGGACAATGGATCTATGTCGCTGTCCGAATCGAAGCCGCGATGACTTGTTCGCGAGGAGGTTTTGTCGAAGGTGAGAGATCTCATTGAACGTCTCATCGCGTACTTTTGCAAATACTGTTGACGCCTTTGAAACAGCAACCCGTCATCATCATTAAAAGAAGGATAGCTATAATTGCGGTTTTCTGTCGTTCTTTGCTTTTCTGAGTTTTCCATCTCCATTTGTTTTCTTCGTCGTTCTTCCGCAAGCCTTTGCTCGTGCAATTTCTTTCGCTTCTCGCCTGGTGGAGTCCCCAGGGCGGCCCGTACTTGAGTTTGTATACTTTGTTCTACGGATTTCTTGATCGCCACTACCCAAGCCTTTCTGTCCTTCTCATCTTCAAACAAACGCTTGGCTTTCTCTGTAGACATCAATTCAATCTCACGATGTAGATCCTCTTCGCGTTTTGACTTCCAAAGTCCGTCCGCGAGAAAACCTTCGGCGGTTTCTTCCACCAATGCGTAAGATTTATCCGTCTTGTTCATGAATGACTCCACATTATTTTCCAACTCTTCGAATTTTTCCAAAGACATCTCGCGTCAAAGTCAACGCTACGCGAATTAATATTTACAAAAATATTTCAAAACCAAGCAATAATCACACCATACCGATCAAACATAGCGTGTGTCTACCCGATAAAGATGCCCACAGACGAATAAGCTTTGTTGTTTCCATAGCAATTTATCCTGTTGGCTGCAAAAAGGCTCAATTACTCGCTCTATTGTTCGAGCATTGTTCAGACAGAGAGTTTGAATAGATAAAACATTTTAACTAAGCTCTTCAACTAAAACAAAACCGTACCATGCTGGCATGATCGTACATTACAAGTAAACTGAAGTTCAAATATTGACTTTGCAAAGTTGTTTTGAATTGCGTGTCGCCGCCAGGCGTGATGTTTTCAATTTGAATTAAAGATACACGATCTATATTTAAAATGCCCTCGGAGAATTGAAACGGAAAAGACACCAAACAATGAAGCGGCAATTCTGTCGGGTCGATTATTTTCGAAAACGATACAACCATATCATCAGTGTTTCTCTAGACAGACAATTACAAGCATAAACAATTAGACAAAGGAGTAGAGGAATATATATGCGACCCATCTTTTCAGGTGCACCCGACAGATCGTTTCGGTACGTAAAGCAATTGTTCGGAAAATAATTATCTCCTCTACTTTCGTGTTGTTTTCGGAATGTTATCGTTTTGAGTACCGAAAAAAGGTCAGCTAAGATCTTTGGAAAGGCAATGAGACCTAAGGTTTTCAGGAAATGGACAAAACAAAACCTGAAAAATTCGAGAAGACTCAAGTTTCCCTAGAATGACTTTATCGATAACAATTTTTAATAATAAAAATTACAATTTCCTCGATTGTAATTGGTT